ACCCACTAAACATGGGGTCGCGGCCCACTTTTGGGTCACGACCCACCAGTTGAGAACCAAGGCTCTAGGGGACTGGATGTGGGGATGAGGCCCTTGTCCCTATCTACATAGGCACAAGGTATCCAGGCAAAGCACCCTTCCTATGTTGAAAGCATATTGCCTGGTATGCTTCAGGAAGGGTACACACTTGCTGCCCCTTCTCTTACCTGGCCAGCCCAGCTGCATGCCTGGATAAGGGTCTGGAATGGAATTTTTTGGGGGGGACCACAGGACGGTTTTATACTAACAAAACAACTTTGACCTCAATAGGATTTGGAAGAACGTTCACAATTTTCAGATGTTCTGCTGAATTTGATAAACACCCCGCGTACTGAACCCAGGAACGTTTCCTCATCACTACTTCCCGTATTATAAAATGACTACCCTCTGGTTATTACAATCATATATGGTACCTAGGGTGGCCACCTTTTCTTCCGTCGAAACCCAAACACTCTAGCGACGCACAGAATTTTTGGGAGGAGACTGAGTTGCGGCTTTTTCATATGTAAATATCACAGTCAAGACCATTTTCAGTGGGATCCGGGTGTCAGCTGCCATGAAACCAGGGCACAGCACTCAAAACCCGGACAGGTGGCAACTCTAATTTTACCTGTCACCAAAGACCGTATCCACACAACCTTAAAGATAAAGTATCTATACCGGGATATGGGGCCCTGCTCTGATCTCCCTGGTTTCTCTGTTGTGGGAGGCTGACTGCCGGCTGCTGGGTACATCTGATGAGGGGGTGACCCTAAGGTTGCCACCTTTTCTTCAAGTGAAACCCGAACCCTCTAGCGACACGCTGACATTTTTTTTGGAGAATGATTCCCGGCTTATAGCCTGAAACCTGGAAGCAGCACATACAGGACTCAAAACTTGGACTGTCCAGTTGACCCCGGGACAGGTAGCAACCTTAGGTGACCCGCATCATTAGGGTTGCCACCTTTTCTTCAAGTGAAACCCGAACCCTCTAGCAACACGCTGACATTTTTTTTGGGAGAATGAGTCACAACTTATTCAGATATAAATAGCGCCACCCATTCATATGTAAATATCAAAGTCAAGAGTATTTTCAGTGGGGGGCCAGTAGCCCCTATCCTAATTTTGGTTGCCCCCATCTGCCTGACATCTTGTGTCCGGGTTTCTGCTGCCATGAAACCCGAACAGAGCATTCAAAACCCGAACTGTCCGGGTGAATCCTGGACAGGTGGCAACCCTACGCATCATCCATTCCACCAATACCTGAGGCATTTTTGGATGGGATGGGACATGTTCATACTACGAGATGCTTCTCAGGACTGCAGTTCCTCTGAGCTCCACAAGGTGGTGATCTCACTATCAAGTGAGATCTATTGATCTATGGTAAGCAGACAGGAAGTGATGTCAGATATAGACAGGAAGTTATATCGGGTAAACACAGGAAGTTCCCAGGTGAGAGGTTAGTTGGGAAGACGCAGAGAGGAGACATTGCCGGATCTGGCAGCAGAGGAGGTAATAGGATATTATTTTATATTTACACTCAGTAACCCCTCCCCCCCGTCATGTCCATCCTCGTCCTCCATAGTCACTGTGACGTCTTTTATCTCCAGCAGATTCTACTACACACATCCATAGTGCGGATACGTATATATTAACCCTTCAGGATTATAACCTTTCCCCAATTATGGGGTCATAACATTTTCTTCTTTTTGGTAATGTGTCACCTTAGCAGTCTCTTGTACTAGGGATGAGATCCGGGTTATTCTGAATGTTGACACAATTTCCAAGATTAAAATTTTGGTAAAATTTGCAGTTGATGAATTTTGGGGCTTACCCATAGTGCTTTGTGCAGCCTTTGTCTCTGCTCATCGGCCAATAATGTGGGAGAAGGTGGATAATTCTACTCTATAAGTGGACGTGGGAGATCATCGGTAGTGTCGGAGTGTCTGGTGACGGTGACGGTGAGCGGACAGGGAGAGCTCCTTCATAGGGACACAACAGGGATTGGGTTGTGTGTGTTGCAGTGGTGGCTCCATCTTCCTCCTCCCAGCACAGAGCAGGCAGAGTTCATCATTGCTGATGTTTCCTCCTCCTCTTCCTCCGTTAAGTCAGCCAGATCCAGGACATTTGGTTCTGAGGAGTCGGCAGAATTCTTCGAGCTCTCCATCTATGGATTGCTCCAGGAGGAGACACGAGCAGATAGAGCAGAGGAAGATTCTGGGAAAGCTCAGGTCTCCCTTTCTTCTAATTGGCGGTGACGGAGGGAGGAAGAGAGCGGGGTGATCAGAGCGGGAGAAGGTGGCTCGGTGTCTGAGTGCTCCTAAGGAGGCCACGCTCCAGGCAGAGGACATCAGCCACCCAGCACCAGTACCAGACATCAAAGTGCCAGCAGACGGAGCTTTCTGTGAGCTGGACTCCAGTGGTGGACGATGAAATGTTAGATCACATTTGAGTGCCATGGAGGGAAGAGAGGGAGAGGTGAAGGTGGAGAGAAGGGACACGTTGGAAGTGGGGGAAAGGTGTCCAAGAACAGGGGCACCTCACAGTGGACAGCAGAGAACAGCTGTCAGTAGGCATCTGGTGGCCATTGTGTCTCCACCGCTGATAGTCCCCGAGTTGCAGCAACTTGGGTATTACCTGTATATGAAACAACATGAAGATCCACCACAGATCTTGATGGGAACAGAACTTGACAACAACAACAACAGTCCCATCTTCCCCTCTTCATCTTCAGCTGATGCATCATAGTCCCCTTCATCACATTCTCTTGGTGCATAGACAAGGACTTCCAGTGCATTCAGTGAGAGGGAAGATGGAGGTCAGTCCTTTTCTACCCCCCAGCAGAGAAGAGACCGGGCATTAGGGGACTATGGGGTGATGATGAGAGAGTGAAGAATACCTCCCAACTGTCCATTTGGAGGGGCTGACCCTCTTTTGTAAACAAACTGCTCTGACCCTCTTCCTACTTCTTCAGGAGCCCAGGTAGGAGGATTTTTGGGATCACCGTGTTCTAACCACATACTCTGTGAGGCCATCAATATCTGTTGAGTGTTGCTGGCCACACTGTGTCGGGTGGTGTCACATTGGGAAGTGAACCTTTAGGAGTTGGATAACGTTTTTTGTCATGAAGATATCTCACACATACTATATTACCAAAAGTATTGGGACGCCTTTACAACACATGAACTTTAATGGCATCCCTGTCTTAGTCCGTAGGGTTCAGTATTGGGTTGGCTCTGCCCTTTGCCGCTATAACAACTCCGCCTCTTCTGGGAAGGCGTCCACAAGGTTTAGGAGTGTGTCTATGGCAATGTTGGACCATTTGTGAGGTCAGGTACTGATGTTGGAGGAGAAGGCCGGGCTCGCAGTCTCCGCTCTAATTCATCCCAAAGGTGTTCTATCGGGTTGAGGTCAGGACTCTGTGCAGGCCAGTCAAGTTCCTCCACCCCAAACTCGCTCATCCATGTCTTTATGGACCTTGCTTTGTGCACTGGTGCGCAGTCATGTTGGAACAGGAAGGGGCCATCCCCAAACTGTTCCCACAAAGTTGGGAGCATGAAATTGTCCAAAATGTCTTGGTATGCTGATGCCTTAAGAGTTCCCTTCACTGGAACTAAGGGGCCAAGCCCAACCCCTGAAAAACAACCCCACACCATAATCCCCCCCCCCCCCCCCAAACTTTACACTTGGCACAATGCAGTCAGGCAAGTACCGTTCCCCTGGCAACCGCCAAACCCAGACACGTCCATCGGATTGCCAGACAGAGAAGCGTGATTGGTCCCTCCAGAGACCACGCCTCCACTCCTCTAGAGTCCAGTGGCGGCGCGCTTTACACCACGGCATCCCACGCTTTGCATTGCACTTGGTGATGTGCGGCTTGGATGCAGCTGCTTGGCCATGGAAACCCATTCTATGAAGCTCTCTACGCACTGTTGTTGTGCCAATCTGAAGGCCGCACCAAGTTTGGAGATCTGTAGCTATTGACTCTGCAGACAGTTGGCGACTTATGGAATATTTAGTAGCCGGGAAATGTCACAGAACACCTGAATCCAATGATTTGGAGGGGTGTCCCAATACTTTTGGTAATAGAGTGTATATGAGACTTCTTTTTAACTTTATCACTTTGCGGCACTTTAATTGAACTATACCGTCATAGATCATCTGCAGAGCGGATCTGTTACTTGTGGTTCCACAGGCTTGTGGTTTGTTCTTACCTCTTGTGGATCAACGAGCACGTGTTCTGTTCTCGCTTCCTTGCTTCACAGAGCCGGCCTTATCTGACGAATATTACCGTGTTTCCCCGAAAATAAGACACTGTCTTATATTTTTTTTGGCTCAAAAAAAAACACACTAGGTCTTATTTTCGGGGTAGGTCTTATATTTTAGCAATTCCCAAAAATAGAACTAGGTCTTATTTTTGGGGTAGGTCTTATTTTCGGGGAAACAGGGTATACCTTGCCTCTTGGCCACTTCCTGCCCCGACCCCCAAATCTCTCTCATTCTTCAATAACTCCTGCTTTCCCTTGGGCTGACCTTTCTTTTACCAACTCTCCTTTTTCCTCCTGGTTTTGCTTGTCTGCCCCCAGCCCTGACCTTTGGCCTGTCTTCTGGATCCCCATGTTTACTCTTCAGCGTACTCCTTTTCCTGTGTGTACGAGGAATCTCCACATGAGGAGCAGGGTCAACAGGTGAACCTGGAGGTCAGCATGCAGCTAAGTCCAATCTTCCATGAGTGGGTCCTTGGCAGAATATTGGCAGGCCCTCAGACCCCACACCTCATGGGAAGCCCACGCCACTTGCTCACGTCCTTGGTGTCGAGATATATATACTTTATGTTTAGAAGTGAATCTCAGGGATCCACCTCGAACCCAAATCTTATCCCTAAAAATCACCTCCATTGACCTTTCCCTGGTCTGTAGAATGAAATAAACACATTAAACTGTAAGGAACTCAATCTATGTGTGGCAAGTCCCAGTGGGAGTATCCCACCCATATACCACTTATATCCCCACCCTAATATTATACAACCAGTATAGTCCAGATAATTCTCCACCATCTGTCCACAGAGATCACGTCACCAGGTCAATGAGGATGGAGGAGGACCGGAGTCGCATGACTGAGAGGATACTAAACCTCACCCTGGAGATCATCTACCTGCTGACCGGAGAGGTGAGGAGGATTCCCGGGAGGTCAAATGACACTAATCCTATATCTATTAATAAAACACAGACCTGACCGGAGAGGTGAGGAGGATTCTGGGATACTAAAATGATATTCCTATTGGTTTTTCAATACAGAGTTTTCCTCTTCTGAAGTCAGGTGATCATGTGACCATCACAGTGCCCCCATGTGACTCCCTAAAACCTGAGAGACACATCATGCAGAAGATTCTAGAAGTCACCAAGAAGATGACTGAGCTACTGACAGGAGAGGTGAGCGGTGCCGGGAATTCTGGGACATGATCCAGGAACAGACAAGGGATGTGTCTGGAGGGTGACGGTATCATTGTGTGTGTCCGGTTCCTATAAGGTGTTAGGATGTCTCTGTCCATTCCTCCATGTAGGAGCGGGATTATTTAGAAGGACACCGGGATCTCTACAAGGATGTCATGATGGAGGATCAGCCGCCCCTCACATCACCGGGTAAGAGGAGAGAGCAGTACGGAGGGTCCACCTAGATCCCCCATCATCTGATACACACATAGAAACAATGTATTCAGTCAGTGTGTGTGTTTCCTACAGATGGATCCAGTAAGAGGAACCCACCAGAGAGATGTCCCCATCCTCTGTATTCCCAGGATTCCACACAGGAGGATCTCGCCGTCCCCCACCATGATCAGGTAGGTGGAGTTGAGGGATTGAAGACTCTGACATGTGGAAATGATGTGTGGACTCTACAAGATGAGACTTTCTGCCGTTCTGTTGGTTTAGGGTGAAGATCTGATGAAGATGAAAGTTGAGGGTGACGTAGAAGAGACGTATGTGAGGGATGATCAGCAACATACGGAGGAGGATGGAAGGATGAGGACACTCATAGAGGAGGACACTCCTACAGAGATCAGCACAGGTGACCCATAATATATTCTTCTCTTATCTCTGCTCTGTTCCTGCACACTGATTGGTCCAGAGTAGGGCGGGATCTGAGTGATATCGGCCAATAGTAGGTTGGTAATGGTCACCTCCCTGTACTGATACCCGTCCTGGGGCTCAGCTGGCAGTATTGGGTTGGGTGTCACTCCTAGTTCCAGGAGCACACATATGAGGACACAGATTGAGCCTTTCTTAGGTCGGTTCCTCTTCTTCCAGCAGAAAATACTTCTCCAAGCTCCCTCCAGTGCTGCTCATCACCAGAAGCCTAGGCCTGTGGTCACCTGTCCTATGGTGAAGGCCTACAACTCTGAACATTGATCCTCTTGTTCCTCAGAGATCACATGACCCAGTGCCTAGGCTTGTGGTTGGGTGAAGAGCATGCTCCTCCCAGTCCCCATTGGCTTCACCTCTTCTGATAGGGCTGTGTAAATGTAGACGTGATCTGGGAGGAGGACCAAAGGCCCTTTGACTGAAGAGGGGAGGAGTCCCAGCTGGTTGGGACCTCCACAGAGAACATCTGCTCCCTCAGATCTCCTGATCCTGAATGTTGAGTGAAGGATCCTCTGACTTTATCTCCAGGTTGTAAGATGGAAGATGAGGACATCACAGCAGATTGTGCGGGAGAAGAGACAAAGAGCTCAGCTATGGATGGTGGACTTCACAGTGTGGATAGAGCATGGAATCCCTATGACTCTGAGCAACCTCGTCCTGTGGGGGATGGTGCCGGAATTCAGGAGGAGAAGACATTTTCCTGCCCTGAGTGTGAGGAAAGTTTTAACTCTGAATTGGGTCTTTATTTACATCTGAGTTCTCACATGGGTGACAAGTTTCTTTACTGTTATGAGTGTGGGAAATGTTTTCTTCATAAATCAGACCTGGTCACACATTACAGATCTCACACGGGGGAGAAGCCGTATTCCTGCTCTGAGTGCGGGAGAAGCTTTGCACAAAAGTGCAATCTTACCAAACATCAGAAACTGCACACAGGAGAGAATTCCTATTCCTGCCCTGAGTGCGGGGGATGTTTTTCACACAAGTCCATTCTTATACAACATCAGAGATTGCACACAGGGGAGAAGCCATATTTCTGCTCCGAGTGCGGGAGAAGTTTTTCACATAAGTGCAATCTTACCAAACATCAGAGATCGCACACAGGCGAGAAACCATATTCCTGCTCTGAGTGCGGTAAATGTTTTACAGCAAGGACCTCTCTTAACACACATAAGAGATTGCACACGGGGGAGAAGCCATATTACTGCCCTGAGTGCGGGAAAAGATTTTCGCAGAAGGGCCATCTTTCCAGTCATCAGAGTTTGCACACGGGCGAGAAGCCCTATTCCTGCACTGAATGTGGGAAATGTTTTCTGCATAAATCCAAACTGCTCAGACATTATAGATCTCACATGAAGGAGAAGTCTTATTCCTCCCATGAGTGAGAAGCCATATTCCTGTCCTTAGTGTGGAAAAGTTTTACATGGAACTCCCCGTTATACAGACCATCAGATACGTCACACACATGGGTAAAACTGTTTTGTTGACGGTACAGCACAGGACACAGGCGGATCCAGAGACGACTATATGCAGATATCAGGTGATTGGACACTGGCCAGAGTTGTGAGGACCCTCATATAGACCCTCCCCCTTCAGGAAATCCTGTTTGTTTGTTTTTGCTTGTGACCCAATTCATTAAAGGATTTTGTGTTACTACCGTGTTGTGTGTTTATTTACAATGTCACGGTATATTTGGTGAATGGGTAGGAGTAACAACTACCCCTTACTCATTCACGGGGGGGGGGTATCATCTGGATGACATGCTTTCCGGAATGCACGGAACTTGCTGCGTTCACTGGAAAATTTCTAAGGAGAAGGAGCGGGTACCTGGGGTTCAGGCGGAGGTACCATAACTGTTGATGCAGCAGTAGGGTTCTGTGCAGGGGCTGTGGTTGAACTTGGAGTAGCTGATGTGGATTGAGTCAAGGATTCCAGACGACCCTCCTGCTGGAAATAGCCTTCCTGTAGACTCTTAGCTGCCCTAGGCAGCTATTTGCTGGCAGAGTTCCTCCATGGGAGGCCTCCTTTCAGGCTCCTAGCATGGCTGAGAGATCCTGTTACATACCTTGGTGTGAGACTGAATGGACGAGGACGGCGTCTGAGTACCCCTGCAGATGGAACAGAAGGTTTACAGACTTAGAGAGGCACGAGGGCCAGAAGCTGATGCTGTAGGCGGCGGGGTAGATGGTGCAGAGATCCAGATGCTGGACGTGGTAGAAGAAGCCGACCGTCAGGTGAGGGTGCCACCAGCTAGTGGTTAGCACCAGGATTAGTAGATGCAGCAGGAGACAGACCGGGTCGACAACTTGCAAGAAGAGCAGTACCAAATCGGAAACCAGAAGAATGGTCAGTGGGTAAGCCGAGGTCAGAAGACGGACAACAAGGTCAGGAAACAAACCGGGTCAAACACAGATTCAATGGGATTATACAACCCACTGACACCCACCGTACCATAACAATAAAGTAAAACACGATTGTGGAAAACTATAGGCCGCACCCCCTTTATTGGGTTTGAATCAATTTAACCAATTGTAGCGCTCACCCCCCGAAGGAGCCGCTGAATGCCGGTACATCTCTAGTCTGTCTAGGTATAACTACCAACGGACGACCGAAATCAAGGCAGAATAATAACAATAAAAATAGTGGGGAACAACAAGGTAGTAAACTTTTGTCCCACAAAAAGAGAGGAATTAAATGTATGTACACCAACAATATAATGCTAAGTAACGATTTATTGAACATCTTCACTGGGGAGAGAGGGTATGGGGGATTCTAAGCTTCTAGAGGTAACGGACAAGAGCATATGGTGACTGAAGTAGCAGGTGGTCAAGGATTACCCAGATCCACATCAGGAAAGACAACGACCATACTACTCCTGAAGTCCTCTTAGTTCCAGGATACCTCAAGAGCCAGCATTGGTCCTGGGTCTCTTCCTCTATCAGCAACACAGGCGTCCTCCTCGTTGGAGGCCTCAGGGAAACCTTTTCCCTCACACCAGCCCATGCCCACCACCAGGCCTAGGGGGGGAGGGGGGAGGGGCAGGCTGAACAGCACCCAGCCCCATTCTGTGGCTGGTCCCGGCTAGTCTGAGCACATGGCAAATCCCTCCAGTATATGTACCCTATCCCAGCATGCACCACTGGCTGAGAGATACCCAGTGATTGGCTGCTGTAGCGTATGTACACTCTCATTGGCTGTCCCACAATATGACAGTCACACTCCGCCCAGGGGGGGTACAGGCAATGCTAGACACCTGGAATTAACCAGATAAATGTCACTATAAATCCAGCCAGGCTGACTACAGCACCGGCTATCACTAAATGTCTGGTAGCCACATCACAGAAGGTGATGGGTAGTGATGGGCTCGGGCGTGTTCGCAAGCGCCTCGTGCCGAGCCCGCCGGGAAGCTGTCAGCGAGCAGCACCAATCACAGACACTGAGACATTTCCCGATCTCTGCAGCTGCGGACCGGGAACATGTCTCAGTGCCTGTGATTGGCCCTGCGCGCTGACGGCTTCCTGGCGGGCTCGGCGCTTGCGAACACGCCCGAGCCCATTACTAGTCCTTAGATGTAGTGGCTGCATTAGTTTTCACCTAGATCATGCCAGTAACAAACTTCCTATTCTAGAGTGGCAACACTCAAACTTATTTGTACTGAGGAACAGCGTTGACACCCTAGGACAGCATTACACACACACATCTATCTCTCTTCATCTCCAATACACAGGGGGTGGGGGAATTTATAGTTTACAGACAGCTTGAAAGGAATATAAGATTATCTGTATTGTCAGTTCAGCTCACAAACAGTGACAAGGTTGCTGCATTTATGGCAAGATCATTATATTTTTTCGTACTTGCTTGGTATCCTAGTCGACTGTGGTGCGGGCATTAGTCCGCTATCGGATAACTTTGATTCACAGCGGTACATTTACTAATGACCCAAATGAGTAATAAAGCAAACAAAAGAAAAAATATTGACTTTACTTCTCTTTTCAACATTGAACTGCACAGGGGGAACACAGCCTGTATATGTCACCTGCTTTTAATAGTTATTTTGCACCAGAACTACCCATTATTTAAAAAGGGCTTGTTCACACCAAATCCGGACCAGATCTGCATGAGTTTCTGCATATGCAGTGCAGTGCGGTTTGATGTGTTTTTGCCGTGTTCTGGTCCTGTTTTTTTTCTAGCCTAAAATGGGCTTTCAGGTGTAGTTCAGTGTGTTCCAGGGCGTTTGCATGCAACTTTGATGTACTTGCATGCATTTTGGTGCGTTCCTGTGGTGTGAACTAGAGTCCAAAATACCATTGGTATACATTGGATGCAACTTGACTAGTGATGGGGGGCTACATAATAAATAGGCTTTAACCTTTATTACCAAACAAAACCACTGCTAAATATTAACAGACCACCATGCTTAGTCACCAAGACACCAGCAGTAATAACTTACACCAACCAAATTATCGTTCACC